GTTGTTCAGGTGATACCGAACCGATAATAAAATTATTCTAAAGATCAGCTAATTCTATTTCTCCATTCAGAAATAGGAAAAGTAGAAATGTAAATTTCAATTTAGATGAGTAATTCATATTATAACATATATAGCTAATTGATATACACAGTAAAAATCGGTTACAGATTTACGATTTTATGTAAAGATTATTTAGTAGCAAAAAGAGCAATTGATAGTAATAAAAAGTATGAACATACATTTCACATGTTCCGCAAGAATTGATGTTATATTTTGTACCACACAAGTGTACATCGTTATATTCTCATTGCATAAATAAGATCGTACAATATTTCTCAGTGTTTGTTCTATTTTTTATTACATATAATTATACAAAATTATATACACAATTTAAAAAATTTACATAAATTTTATTCAAATAACACACTTTTTAAACTTAAGTATAGCTGAGCAATAATTAATTGATAAACAAAAACTATGTAATTACATTCTTCAGTACATACTTTGTTAAGTTTTGAAGTATGCAACTCATTACGATGTAAGGCACTATATAATCTAGTGCTTAAATAATTATATTAGATCTGTATAAATAAGTTACTCTCTTCCATGTGATTGGAAGTGTTATCGTCGTAATTAATTCTTTAAAGAATAGTTGTGATTTGCAGGTTGTATAATATACAATAGGAAACTGTTATAATAGAATACAATGCGTGATACAAGATAAATAAAATATCTTAAAAAATATGTATATGTACTTAATATAATTCAAAGAAAAGTACACTTAATTATAATTACATATTCATCTTTGTTTTCGATTTTGTAACGTATTGAGAATTCACTACATTCACTATTTTTCTTCTGTAAGAATAATTCGATAATTGTACTCTCATGATTCATATGATTTGTTTATTATCAGTTCATTACTATAATGGGACTTCGCTCTCCTGAGTGTAACTCTTTACCCTGCTGAATTTAAGAGGTGGATATCTGCCACCAATCGGCGACGCCCTGAATTCCCTTACAGATGGTTCCTTTAGACAGATCTTCGCTTCCTGTCCATTTTTATATTTTGTGAAAATACTGTAGCTGATCCATTTCAATTGCGAGTTTACTCTTCTATGATGATTCTGTATCTCAAATTCCTACGATTACATATATGGGAAAATGTATTAACTGATTTTTGATACATAATATTCAATTCCAGATATATTTACTACTTACAATATGAAACGTTTGTTCGCCACTGTCATGCACCGGTTCTCTTTTCTTTCTTCTGTAGAAATTGATTCCTTTAGTTTCTTGTCTTTTCAACACAAGTGTCACATAATTATCATGTAATCGAAAATGACCAATGAGAACTGATGGATTGCGTGGTATACGATTTCGTAAGGAATTTACACAGATTTGAGCTTCCTCAGTCGATGTCAACATTAAAACTCTTCCTTCGGGAAAAAATCTAAGTGCAAGAAAAATATGAAAAATTTTTCACTTTGGATATCATAACATGATAACAAGAAAATAGAATCTTTGCAGATATTACAATAATATTTTTATATACCTCAGGTACCGGAAATATTCAACGAGGTGCCATGGTCTGTAAAAACGGTCTTGGAAATTATTTTCTCCATCGCGTATGTAACTTGTTTTATTGATGTAACATCCGTTGTATCTTAATCTAGGCCGTTGCAAATACATATCCCTCCACGATTTGTATTTTGGTTCACAAGTACCACAGTTAACACCCCATACCCTATTAAAAACAATTCCAATTACATAACAATCAATAATCACGCTAATATTTTTTAATATTTACCTAACGCACGCTAGTCGCCAGATCTCCGTATCTCGTGCAGATATGTAAAATCCGCGACATACTCTTGAAAACATTTCTAACGATCGAAAATCCAGTTCAGAAGACACAACCCATCTCAGAATGTAAAGCACTATCTCCATAGGTAATGCAGAGATATGTGTTGTCTGAAATACACAAAGAAAATGTCGAATATATAATACAGCACATTTCAATTACACCACTTCTCTACAGCACAAAGTTGCAGCAACACTGTTGCAATATTGCATCTGCAGCAATATTGCAGTAATATTACTGCAAATTCTATGCTGTATGGGCTCTATATAAATATAATAAGAATAATAATAATAATAATTTTATTAATGTGCAGTACAAAACTATTGCAGAACAATGAGATAGAAGACACTAATTAACAAAGCATCATCAAAAGGCGAGATATCAGCATAGTGCTGCCTAAAACCTAGGCCCTGAACATAGCTAGAAAAGAGTAAGAAATACATTGTACATTTAAATTTACAACACAAATTATTACAACATAAATGTAAAAAATAACATACTTACACTTTGCTCGAATTTTGGAAAACATACACATTGATTGCGGTTTACAATTTTAGACAACTTCAAAAATAAATCAGTTTCTTCTTCATCAACTTCATTATGATTTTCGCTGTCATTGGTAGTTGAAAAATCATTGTCTAGTGTATCAAAACAATCATCAGCATCGAATATGTCTCTTGCTTTTGCTTTTGTTGATTCATACAAACGCACTTCAATATCAGGAACTAATTGTACCGCACGCTTATAAAACTGAATTGCCTCATAAAACTTTCTGCTTTGTTCATGTTCAATGCCTTTAAGAAATAAATTCTTTGCCTATAAAACAAGAAATATAATTTTATAGAAACGTTATAAAAATTTGAAACTTATTTCGATGACAATTACTATACCTTGCTTTCGATAGAAGCTTCATCATTTGCAACCTCAATGTTAGGCTGATTTGGTGAATACGTCTTTGATGTATCACGCTTAGGTGATATTGTCAACTCACGTTGCCATTGTTCCCTGAAAGATGTTAAGGTATCCTCAATGTTTGTTCCTTCTTGCAAAGAAGACGCCTCCTGTTCATCGCCTTCATCCGTGTCATTGCTAGACTCACTGCAGTGGTTCTGTCAATGCATAAAGTAATAAATATTTAAATTTAATGAAGATCTTATAGAACATAATCTTTATGTGTGTCAATTATTTGAAACATTTAAGTACAGTATCAAAGGGTACATATCTTATAGGTATTATATAATAAAATGTTTTCTGAACAGAATTAGTAAACACAAATATGCATCTATATATAAAATAATTTTAATCTGCATTTATCCAAAATAGATCTAGGACATTTACATAAAATTAATAATATTATACAAATAAATTCTCAAAAGATATAAAAGGCAAATATAATCAGTATATATGTAATTATAAGAAATGCAATATAAAGCTTTCATAAGAAAAGATCATTCTTTAAAGGTACAAGGTAAAAAAATTTGAAAACTAATTATATGTTCTAGTACTAAAATTAAGAAATTTGTAAAAAGCGTGGTCAATCAACTTGTTTTCCGAGAGACTCATTCGACGAAATGACGCAACATATTGCGGAACGGTATCGGCTGTCCGGTCAGAGGTTAGCCCGCCACCAATTACTCCGGCATTCGATTACGTGCCTGGCTCGCGACGACAATGACGGACAATTACGTTCTCACGTACCATTTTTTCTTCCTATTCAATCCCGACGGCTTTCTTCCCTCAGCGCATGTACTCTCGGTCGGAAAAGCGCACGACACAGCGAAAGCACAATTTCGCCAATAGTATCGCCGCCATGGTTCTCGCCTTTCTGCGTTTCTCACCGAGGAAGGCGAAGGTCGTTGCGCGATCGACGTGCGTACCGTTCGATGCGGCTTCGACTTTGACATGTAAATACATAATTGTCCTTGTGTCATATGTACCGCTGCAATTTATAATTAATCATTGCGCTTGTAGCAAAAATTGTTTATCATAAAAATAACATTCGCTGAATTCTAAAATCTACTTTATATCTATTTCTGCCCACGTAGATTAATTTTATCTCGCTTTAATTTGCTCTCTATCCTTTTCTTTCTTTTCTTAGAACTTTCTAGGAAAAAATGAAAGGTAAGTCGAGATTAAAATTAATCTGTTGGTGGAAATGGACATTAATGAATTTTAGGTTCAGCAAGTGGACGCTTAAAAGAGAAGCCAAATATTCTCGTAATTTTCATAATTCTTTTTTATTGAAATATTTAATTTTCTAAGTATAATGTATTTAATGAAAAGAAATTTGATTATGTACATTTTCTTCAAAATCAAAAGAATCTTTATTAGTCAAAATTTTTATCTAAAATGTGTTATGTAAATTTTAAAATTTTTCAGAATTTCTCAAATTTTGTATACAACTTTTGGAACACTTTTCAGAAGAAGCCGAGAAAGTTTACATACTTTTTTCTAAAAGTCTTCATATATATGAACTGTAAAATATTCTAAAATTTCTTGTTCTACAATTTCTAATGAAATCTTATAAAATCTGAACAAGTTTAAAATTTTTTCACAAATTATAAAATGAGAAATCTTAGAAATCTTGTAATTAGAATATTTTAGAATTCACATATATAAAACGTCCTAAGAAAAGACTTTCTCAATATTTCAATGTTCCACCAATTCATATAAAATTTTTGAGAAAAATTTTCATCAGAGTATCGCCATCGATATATCGAGCCAACAAGATAATAGTGATGTTGTTTTGAAAAGGTGCAATTCGTGTTAATTTTCTTTCAAAAAGATTGTGTTTCAATAAGAGAGCGAGATCTGTATTTAAGTACTGTATTTACGATACCCTCGTATTCAAGTGTCAGCCACGTGTCACGTACTCATCCGAAGTAACTTATCCCATTTCCCTCCCTTTCGCAGAACGCGCGGGAACGCGGTGGAAATGGGTCACGAGAACACAGCGGTATTCAAAGGAGCCGATCCGCGAAGACCGAAAGCGGCGAGACGCGGCTGGTGGACAGTGAACCTGCCACCTGCACATGTAATGTAACTTGTACATACATACGTGTGTTAACACCGGTGGGGTACGTGACCCCACCTCCGACGCGAATCAGAGACTATCACTACCTACCTACCTATTCAGGAGATCATCTTCCCGAGTAAAAGCCGAGTACTGAACGAGCGTGGGCACAGACAGCATCATGCGCTTGGTGAGTACGAAACCATTCATTCACTGATCAGCTTTCCCGCTTAGTGAACTTTCCTTTGATTTTCTCTTCTTTTTTTTTGTTTCTTCGGTAACATCTGTATCGATTTCTTCTTGCTCCATGATGTAAGATGTGTCCTTTTTTTTTCTTTACATCATCTTCTTGCTGTTCTCTTCGCGATGGATTACGTATTCTCGTGCCAAGTGACAGTGACTCGAATAATGTCAATCTCGTTAAGTGTGCGAAGTGATCGGATCGAGGTTTAGGAAAACTCGAGGGAAAACTTGATGTGGTGACGCAAATGTAATGCCGTGAAGTCTGTATCAGACTATGCATTAGAGACTTAAAATTGCCTATTGAAGATTAAAGTTTGACAAGAACGGATTAAAATTAACGTTATTGATCAAATTCTAATCTTCAATTTGCAATTTCCAATGTCTGATGTGATCTTAAAGTCCGTGTCGCGCTACGCATTGAAAGTCTTTAATGAGGATTGTGAATTAGAGATTAAAATTCCAAGCAGATAATTTTTATCTTAATCCATTTTGTTCTGATTGATTGGATTCTAATCTTCAATCATCAGTCTTCAATGCGTAATGCGACACAAGTTTAAAGCTCCTATTTCCTCATTATTACTATCTCAGTTTGTGACGTTGAAGCGAGAAAAAAATTCTCGCAAAAATTATATTTAAATAGAAATATTTTTTAATGAAATAATATTTTCAATCAATATAGAAGGAAACTTTTAACGAATATCCAAAACTCTTTTCTTGTTTTGGAGAGAAATTAAACTATATTTATTTCTGTGTATTATTAATTTGACTGTTTGTCATCTGTGAACATAGCCTGTTCATTTTTAATTATTCATTTCCAAATATATTATTTATTAATTAACGAAACAAAAGGAAAGTTTTCGATGTATTTTACAAATCGGTTCTATTAATTATAAGTGTTGTTTTGTTGAAACATATTTTTATTTTAATCCATTTTGCAAAAATTTTTATTGTGTATTTTCTCGCTTCTGATGTCATAATCTAAGATAATAATGAATGAAGAATCTTAAAAATACTTATAGCGAAGTAACAAGAAGTAATCGAATACTACACTGAAAAAAAAATATAGTCAATTTTAATAAATATTTAGTCCAATACTGCCAACTAAACATTTACTTACAACAAATAAATATTTGTTCAGTAAAAAGAATGATTGTTAAATCAAGTTAATGTTTCTTGTAACAAATAAATATATCTTTATATTTAATAAATATTTAGTTGGCAGTATTGAACTAAATATTTGTTAAAATTGACTGTATTTTTTTCAGTGTAGTAATCGAGATAGCCTTGACAGATTTCAATTAAGGTGTCCTGACAAAGAAAAACTGTAATATCGTATGTTCGATCTTTTCTCATTTTTTCTTCGTTGAGCGAGACAACCGATAATCCAAACTGACTTAATCAAATTGTCACGCTTGACGAAATTAAATGCTTATTACTCAGTGATAGCAGGTAATCCTTCCGCAAGTAATTCTAATACGTGCTAAATGTGCGTACACATTGATACTCAAGTAGATACTTGAGTTTCTATCTGCGAAGAAACCCACGGTGTGAGCATTTCACGGTGGCCACTTTCTTCTTCCATCATATGTTTCGCGACTTCCAGAATTGCTAGTGTACATATTGCTCGCACAGAAGGGACATATGCACGCGCTTTTCTATTTAATAGTTTTCGATACCTGTTTATAATGAATCGTTTATTTGATCGACCCGATTTTCCGCGCTATCGTATCTTGTAATATTTCCTGCAAATATTAATTCGTCACTTTCAATGAAAACGCGCTGTGTAGAAAGTTATCGATAGCAATTTATGATTCAATACGTAATGTAGATATCGTGTAATATGAAAAATAATATATTGTGAATATCAGCCACGTTTCATATTTATAAATCAAATAAGAGAAACAATCCTATTTTTGGTCAAAGTGGATCATGGTGCTTGATAATGTTTATAAGCATTTGCAAATATCTCTTTATGTCTCGGTAGTCGAATTGATAAAACGTCTGCAACGAAATAAAAATGTACAAAAATACTATGGCACATTATAATTATAAATTTCCTTAGTATTTTCGTATACGATATTTTTCGAGAATAAGGTTTGATTCCCGACTGATATTTTTCGCAATAAGTTCTTTGCAGTCTTTCAAGATGCTTATCATTATTAAATTGACGATCAACGTAATTTGAAGCTATGGGTAATACAACTTCATTTTATGGCTGCGTTTCAACAAATTGAAATAGCACGCAGTTTATGTAACTGCAAAATGTATTTGCAAATTTACATGAACATTGCCAAACACTAAGATGCGCTTTGATCGAAAATAGGATCTCTTATGATTTATTCTTATCGGTTTTAGGTCCCTATTCTGTAACTTTTAATAACAATGTCAGTGTCATTACATTGTCGTTGCGCATCTCTTTTATCATATATAAAAGAATTGCGCAATGAGAATGTAACGATAATGATACTATTGTTAAGAGTTACAGAATAAGAGGTCTAATTTTACTTATAATTATTTATATTTTTATTTATATTATTATTTATTGTTGCACAGTTATATTGTATTTTTTAATATATTCAAAAGTAATGGTTAATTTAAAAATTGCTTTGCTTAAATTACACCTACTTTTTATTTACCAATACTTTATATAAATATTAATAAAAATTAATATAAAAATATTTTAATTAAAAAAACATTGACATATAAAATTAATATTTAATTTATTTGTTGAAAAACTAATGTTTTCTATTTTGAAGTCTATAAAATACCTCAAACTTTAAAATCTAAAGCATCAATCATTTTTCTTTGGAAACAACTTTCGCTAATCAGACAAAAATTCGTGACAAACGCTAATAAACATTAATTTCATCTTCGTATTTTTAAGGCCATTCTGTAACGGTATTGCTTTCGAGATTAATTCAAAACGCAGAAACTAAATATAGTCATTTTATAGTCACTGATTCGAATAAAGAGGTTGATCCTCTCACAGTCTCCGCAATTTATGTACCTGTCGGCGTCCACTTTACGGCAATTCACTGTAAAAGACTAGGCTCATTACCAATCGCATTAATGAATCGACGTGCTCCGGTGCAAGTCTGGACCACTGGATCAATTTCTACTTGCTCGCGAATCGTGCGAAGGCGAAACACGCGAGCATACGTTGATGGATACGTACTTCTAACGACCCAATTGTTATGTAGCACAGTCGCGTGTTGCGTTAATTAACATTAAAATTAGAGTTTCACGGGTAGGTTGAAACTTAAGGTCGACGTGCAAGTCATTAGTTTGAAACGATCGAGATTGATCGCCGCACCGTGAAAAAAAAGTGAATATACTGTATATAATATATATATAAAAAAGAAAAGGCGAAGAGAAAAAGATAATGAAATCTTTCGAATTGAGAATATTAGGCTCGTCGCGGTCTAAATCCATACGATGTATGGCTCTCTCCTCGTATAAGTTCGATCAATGGACCAGGGGAAATATCGATAATATCGTAGACCCGTATACGTGAGAGTTCATTCGAAATCGGCACAGGGCGCGGCGGAGAAATGGAATCGACCTGAAACAATCTAATCAAACTGACGCGATGGATCGTAAAGGTTTGCGTTCAATTCTATAGAATTGTGTGAACGCGCATGATAATTTTCTCCGAGTGTATCTTGAATGATCAGATTTTCCGGTTTTCTAATCGACGCGACGTATCGGCAAAAAGTATCTTCGAGGATCTCTTTCATTTGAATAGATTATTTGAGTCTTCATTTTAATGCCGGTCATGCTGACGGAATACTTCTGGTCGATAGCGCGCGGATTTCAAGAGAAAGTAATTATATCAGGGATTGATGACGTGAAGGATGGGTGTGGATACCTGTGTCAGACAGCGGGTTCGATGACCCTCGAAAGCAGATGGCATCTTTTCGAACCACGCGGGAAGAAAGTTTTCTTCTCCTCTTCCCCCTCCTTCATTTTGAACGACGCAACGATCCATTCTTGAATATGAGATAAATCGGATAAAACGTATTACACGGTAGGCACTTCTAACCAGTTCTTACGAAACAACCGACCATGCCGCCTAGAAATGCATGGGGCCTTCTAATCGAGAACGGCATGCACGTAATAGTAATGGTAGCCAGAGATTCCACCTGCGTGAGCTCTTCTCTGAATAGGAATGATGTTTCCGGATGTTTCGTAAGACGCATCGATATCTGGCCGGATCCTGTCCGTCCAACTACGCCAGATATCTACGTGCGCCGTAAATCAATGGCTTCCTTAATAATCGCAAACGTACAGTTTCGCGGTCCGTTGAATCGACGATTTTTCGCGTCGAAAGTGGAAAGTCGCGCACCCACCGGCATCCTTTCGTTCGGATTCTTCATCCCGTAGTAACGCATATAAGGTCACGTACCACGTCGAAACAATCGCATTTAACCGCTCGAGGACACTCCCATGTTTCCGATTTTTCACGCTTTCCTCCGCTGGTCGAGCGAATAGCAGCTAATTCTATCTTCTATCCTGAACTTAACTTTCCAAGTCCGATTTTTTATCGGATCGACTTGGTCTATCACGGGTATCATTATTGGGATTACGTGTATAAAGCATACATGATATAGAATACTCGAGATCATACACAGAAAAATACATTACTTGTTCCAAGAATTTCAATTTCAAATTTATCATAAACTCATCACAAACATTACATTTATTCAAAATATATTCTGAATTCTAGTAATGTACTTCAATCAAGATTATTACATTAAAACAAATTCAATTTGCTTATTATATGTATAAAGTCGCTTCTTCGCTCAATTTTATATTTTTCAAAAGAAAATAAATACTTCCTTCGAGTACATAATAATGAGTTTTTCTAAAATTTGTGATAAGTATATTTTAAGATTATTATCAAGAAAATATTCTTCGTTGAAGATAACCGTTACTTGAAAGGAAGAA